AGATCAGGATGGTCTCACGAGGCTAGGCTGCTGTGGCCACAGTATGATATTTAAACAGCTTGAACTGAAATTTTGCTACTTTACATTTATAGTAGAAAGTAATCATGCCTTTAATTATATTACATCTGCTGATCATGACACTTAACACACTTTTATGTTCCCTAACAACTAAAACAGGTACAAAGATTGGACCAACTTTTAAGGCTCTCAAAAACGTTGAAGTAAAGAAGTGTTGCTTTGCATCAATAGAGTGTTTTAGCCACAGATGAAGGTCCAGGGTAACCAAGTAGCATGTTTTCTTGAAATTCAAGAAATTGTTCATTTTTTGGTTAAAATAGCAATATGTTTTCAAAAGACTTTTTTTTTCAGGAATGAGAAAACGATTTAAAATCCCCGTAAAATATGTATAGCAAAACTGATGTGCAAGATTTGACAAACAATCAGCAATATTGTCCGACAAATCTCTCAGTATCAGTTCAACATCTGGCTGATACACTTTAACATTTATTTTTGGCTTATAAGATCTCTTATAAGATGTCTTCAGATCTTTTACAAAAACTGCTAAAGTGAGAATCTATCAAGGTTTCATCTTTCTTTATTTAAGCTGAATGATACAACCAAACAGAGCAAGGATGCGAGACATGTTCTCCAACAGATCCTAATTTTCCTCATACAGCTAAAGTTTATTGCTTCCCCATTAGAACTATCAGCCATTTTTGTAATATCCTGCAGTAGCTCACATTAAGCACCGCTGCCACGGAGCCAATTTGCTTTTAATGGCCTGTGGTTGATTTAGCCGAGGACTCCACAATGTCAGCTTGAAAGATGGTAAAACTAAGCCTCTGAGCTCAGAGGTTCAGTACAGACGACTTTATTTCAAAAATAAAACACATTATTTCTGTGGTGTCATTTCTCAAACCGCTACTAATAGTTGATAAGTAATCTAAAATGCATGTAAACACCAGCAGAGGTTCAAGAGTTTAATGAAGGATGCAGTTGTCTTCTTTCCTGAAAAGGAAAATAACAGAAGGCGTAAGATTTAACATGAAATGCATATGATGACAAATCTATTAACCGTTATGTAGAAATATCTGATTCAAACCCCAATGATCAGTTGGTCACATAAGACACTGTGTTGATGAGTGGGATTTGAGTTTGTCTAATTAATTAGGGGAGTGGCGGCCTAGTGGTTAGGGCATAGGGCTTAGAATCCTGGGGTTGTAAGTTTGAAACCCGCTCGCACAGACTGCCACTCTGGGCAAGACCCTTAACCCCTGATTGTGCTCCAAGATGGCAGCCCACTGCTCCCCAAGGGGATGGGTTAAATACAGAGGTAAATTTCTCCAATGTGAGATCAATCAAGTTCAATTGTTGTAATTATTAATTCAATCATTCTTTTATTCATTCGTTTATCCATCCACCCTCTTCTGCTTCTGCTATCTGGGGTTGGGTCGCGGAAGTAGCAGCTGAAGTAGGGAGGCCCAGACAACCCTCTCTGCAGTCACTGGTGTTCCCAGCCCAGCTGCCCAGCTGATAACCATTGTCCCTCTGGCGTACCCTGGGTCTTCATCTGGGTCTCCTCCAGGTGGGACATGCCTGGAAAACCTCACCAAGAAGGTGTCCAGGAGGCACCAAGACCTGATACCCCACTTCACACTCTGCTGCAAATAACTCCAGCAAGAGCTGAACATCACAGCCTGCAAAAAGAAGACACCAAGACTCAAAGGCCACCAAAACCGATCCCCTCAACACCTTGCCTGCACCAAGAAATTCTTTCCATAAATGTTAGAAAAAGAATTAGTGACAGAGGGCCAGCTTGGTGTAGCCCAACACTCACTGGAAGCGAGTATGATTTACTAATCTGGACCAAGCATGGGCACCAGTAATACAGGAACCTAACAGCATGAATCAAAGGGCCTGCTACACCATGCACCCAGAGAACCCCCGGAAGTCCCCCCTCCAAGGATATGGTCAAACGCCTTCGCCAAGTCCACAACTGGACATGTAGACTCCCACACACCCTCCAGGACCCTCCTGAGGGTGTAGAGCTGATGTAAGAAGTGTGATCTCTCTGTAAGTTGGAGCACACCTTCTGGTCCCCCCTTTTGAGTAGTAAGACCACTAACCTGGGGTGGGGCAAATTCAGGGAAACTGTCCTTGATTACCTCACAATATTGCAGTAGTGTTAACCAAAACGACCTTACAACATCTAGAACTCTGGGTGATTGTCCTCCACCCATCGAGACCTGCCACCTAACCCTTTTACACCTCAGTGAGCTCAGTACCAGAGAATTGGATGCCTGACCCAAAGTACCCAGGCTTGACTTCTCAATGAAAGAAGCGCTGGTGGGATTGAAGAGGTCTTCAAAGGACTCCGCCTACTGACCCACAACACCCAAAGTCGAGGTCTGGAGCACACCATGGCCACTATAAACAGTGTTTGTGCGGCACTACTTTCACCTTCCGAGACACCAAATGGTGGACCAGAATCGCCTCGAAGCTGTAAGGAAGTTTTTCTCTGCATTCTTCTCTGAATTTTTGTCTCAAAAACTAACCAAGCCTCATGCCTTTTTGGACTTATAGTAACTATCAGTAACTATCAGTTTCTGCGGTCCCACAGGCCAGAAAAGCCTGATAGAACTTCTTTTGAACCTGAGAGCATTCCTCACCTCTGATCTCCATTGGTGGGTTGAAGGGTTGCTGCAGGAATAGGCACCAACCGCCTTGACAAGGGAGACATGGAGCATAGCCCACTTGGACTCAGTGTCCCACACCTCCTCTAGAATGTGTTTGAAGTTCTCCTTCAATGTTCCATCTCAAGGGAGACTCTTCCAGATTTTCCTAGCAGACCCACACAATACGTTTTGCCCTGCCAGGTCTGACTCCCATCCTTCACTACCATCGGTGCCAACTAAACCATCAGGTAGTAGTTGGTGGACATTCCACCCACCACTTCACCCAAGGGTCCAGATGCAGATTAGATGAGGCAGTTCAGATTAAACGACAACAAAGTCCATCACTGAACTATGACCTGGGGTATCTTGTGCCAAGACAACATATGGACACCTTGATACTTCAACATTACGTTTTTTATGGACACGTCCATGATGAGCACAGAAGTCCAAAAACAGCATGCCTCTCAGGCTCAGATCAGGTGGGCCACATCTCACTCTCTCTGCCCAAACAAGTGTTGAAGTCCCCCACCAGAACAGGGGAGTCCCAGGGTTGGAACTCTCCATCACCCCCTCCAAGGACATCCAAACGTTTGGGTAATCTGAACTGCTGTTTGGCACATAAACACAAACAACAGTCAGTCCCCCAACATGTGGGCGGAGCGAGGATACTCTCTCGTTCACCGGCTTTATCCCAAACAAACAGGCACCAAGAAGAGGAGCAACAAGTATGGCCACTCCTACTCGTTAAATGGTTTAAAAGTGTTAAGTTTAATTCATATTTGGACAGGTTCATAGAGTTTGGTAAGTAACATGTGCATGCTTTTGAAAAATGAATGGACATAAGGGAATATTCCCAAAAGAGAAAAAAGTAGGAGCTATAGTTACAGGCTCCAACCAAACGTTTGGTAATCCAGGTTCAGAAAGTAAAAATCCTGCACAGAGATCTGAGACTTGCTTCAAAATAGGATTTCCTAAAAGCGCGTTCACGAGTCTACGGAAACCGCGGCAGACCAAACCAGACGAAAGTGCGCATTCAGCTCGGCAAAGAAC